GGGACCATAGTCCCCCGGTGGACCTTTCGGCGCACGTAGCGCCCCACCCCAAGAGACTGGCATCGAAGTCTGGTTGTGATCCGAAAATGGCTTTGCCATTCCAGGTTTCCATGTCGTGATGCCACCAATGAAGTTCTATACAGACTTCGTCTGTTAGGTAGATCATTTGGTCGTAGAAGGTGGACCGGTTTAGATAGTAAGTCTTGAGCCGTTGCATGGCTCTGTAATCTAGGGGTCCTGGATAAATGGCTCGGATAGAGGCAGACAGGCCTATGGTATGAGCCAGATCGCATAGGCGAATCTGGTGGGCTGATAGCAATTTGCAAATGTCTTTCTTTATAGCCTTGACCTTTGTAGAAGGTAGTTGTAAAATCGCCTGTATGGAGTCTTTTAGGAATCCGAGAAACTGAACTTTCTGAGAAGGTTCCAGGTCCGATTTTTGAAAGTTGATTACAAAACTTAGGTCATGTCCGTGTGTTGACGTAAAAGGTCTGGATCTTGAGCCATTATCAGGATGTCGTCCAAATATACAATCAGGGCCGGCCTTAGGGGTGTGCGAGCTGTGCGACCGCACAGGGCGCCATGGAACAGGGGGCGCCCTGTGGCCGACACAGCTCACTCATGGCCGGAGTGCAGGGGAGCTAAAAGAGGTACCTGGCTGGAGGATTAATTATTCTCCACCCGGGTCTATTTAAAAAAAAAAAAATCGCGGCAGAGGGGGCGGGGTTTACCGAGCGGCGGAGGCGGGGCTTATCGAGAGGCGGAGACGGGCTAATACCTCCCGAAGCCCCTGCTGTACAGGAAGAGGGAAAGATGCTTCCCCATCAGCCAACTGCATCCACTGGAAAGAGGTAAGTGTGTGTGTGTGACTGTTTGCCTGTTTGTGTGACTGTCTGTGTGTGTGTGTGACTGTCTGTGTGACTGCCTGCCTGTGTGCATGTGACTGTCTGTGTGTGTGTGTGTGACTGTCTGTGTGACTGCCTGTCCTGTGTGTGTGTGTGTGTGACTGTCTGTCTCTGTGTGTGTGTGTGACTGTCTCTGTGTGTGACTGCTGTGTGTGACTGCCTGTGTGTGACTGTCTGTGTGTGTGACTGTCTGTCTGTGTGTGTGACTGCCTGTGTGTGTGACTGCCTGTATGTGACTGCCTGCCTGTGTGTGTCTGTCTGTAACTATCTGTCTGTGTGTGACTGCCTGCCTGTGTGTGTGACTTTCTATCTGTGTGACTGCCTGCCTGTGTGTGTATAACTGTCTATGTGTGTGTTACTGTGTGTCTGTCTGTGTGTGTGACTGCCTATGTGACTGTCTGTCTGTGTGTGTCGCTGTAGCTGTGCCATTGTTTGTGCCTGTGCCTGTATGTGTGACTGCCTTTAACTGAGTGTGTGTGTACATGCCTGTAACCGAGTTTAAATTTCCCCCACCCCTTCCTGTCAAGGCCGCACTTTGACTGACAGACGCTCACTCACTGACAGACGCACACTCACTGACAGACACACACTCTCATATACACTGACAAACAATGACATACACACATACACTATTACTTGGACACACACTGACAGATGCACACTCTCACTGACAGACGCAAGCACTCACTGAAAGATGCACGACTCCACTGACCGACACATACACACTGACTGACACACACTCACTGACCGACACACACTCACTGACCGACACATACACACTCACTGACTTACACACTCACTGACTTACACACTCACTGACTTACACACTCACTGACCGACACACACTCACTGACGACACATACACACTCACTGACGACACATACACACTCACTGACTGACACATACACACTCACTGACTGACACATATACACTCACTGACCAACACACACATTCACTCACAGACACACACACATTCACTTACAGACACACACAATTACACACTTACAGACACACACAATTACACACTTACAGACACACACACACACACACACATTCACTTCAAAATAAACACTCACAGACACACACACAGACATTTCCACTAACACTCACAAACTAATATTTTTTACATTTATTTTAAATCCACCCAGCCTCCCTGGGAAAGCTGGAGTGGATTTCTTACCAGCAGTCCAGTGTGGCTGCTGGGCAGGCAGGCAGGGGGCGCACAGGCTGAGTAAGCAGCGCTTAGTGATGCCGGGAGCCGGACTGACGTCATATTCTGGCTCCCGGCTTCATTAAGCGGCGCAGAGGAAGCTGAGCAGGAAGAGCTCAGGTGAGTATGCTCCTTCGCTGCCCGCTGCCAGCCTTGGGGGGGCTCAAAAGTGGCCAGCCGGTCAGCTCTTGAGCCCCCCAGGATGCGAGGCAAGCAAGGGATCTGCCTGGGGGTTTGGAGGGATGCTTTTTTTTGCCGCCCCCTGCAAAGTGGCGCCCAAGGCAGATGCCTTGTTTGCCTCGTGATACACATGTCCCCGGTGCCTGTGTGTGTTACTGTATTCAGGCAACTTGGTGGGAGGTGGGGGGGCGCCGTGAAGACTTTTTGCACAGGGCGCCTAATTGCCTAAGGCCGGCCCTGTATACAATGGAACGAATCCCCTGTGATCAGAGTAGCGCCATCACTGGTTTCATCAGCTTTGTGAAACACCGTGGTGCGGAACAAAGACTGAACGGGAGGCATGTGAACTGCCAAATTTCCTCTTGCCAGAGGAATTGAAGAAACGCCCGATGGTTGCGGGCGACAGGGACAGTGAGATATGCGTCCTTGAGATCGGATCTGGATAACCAGTCTCCCACGCAAAGGAGGTCCCTGAAGAGATGGATGCCCTCCATTTTGAAATGATGATATCTGACATAGTGATTAAGGTCTTTCAAATTGATTATTGGACGCACGTCTCTTTTTTGTGGACCAGAAAAATATTGCTTAGAAAGGTATGTGGGAAGAGTGATCTTTCTATCGCCCCTTTTTCCACCAGTTTGTTCAATTCTGTGTGTAATGCCAGGTTGTCTGTTGCAGACATCCAAAATGGTGTAGGTGGTGTGTCCTGGAAGGGAGTGGAAAGGAAATCTATTTTGAATCTCTTGACTGTGTGTAGGATCCATAGATCCTGTGAAAGCAGTTCCCACTGTTGGAAAAAATGGGTTAGTCGACCTGCTATAGGTACATTGAAAAAAGGAAGGTTTATTACCTGGAGCAGTGCGTCCACGTAAGGAGGCAGATCCACGTCCCCGAATGGATCCTCTATTGGTGAATAACTGCCTGTGGTAGGGTCGACGGGGTCCCGAGTTCCAGTAGTTTTCTGAGGGACGAGGCCTGTAGCCTGTGAAGACAGCTCTGCTGTTCATTCGGCCTCTATAATGTCCAGTTCTCCCAGAAAAATGACCTGACTGGGATCGAAATACCCTGCATAGGAGGATTGGGCCTTGTTTAAGGTAGTAAATACCGCTGCACATTTGGACAGATCTCTCATGAAAGAGTCCCCAAATAACAAGCTTCTAAATGGCTTCTGGTCCCAGTTCTCGGGAGCTTAAGTCTGCTAATTTAGCATTGAGTTTATATAGTGCCGCCCTACTTCTCTCAGTGGATATAGCCACATTTGCATTGCCCAGGTATCATGGGGCTCTTTGGGCCCATTCTCGGACTGTGTGAGGGTCAAACTCCCCACTAGTTATAGCTTCGTCAGCTAGTATGAAAATTTGGATGATGGGACCAGCGATATCCAGGAGCTTGTCCTGGGCTGTCTTAAGACCTTGCTCAATACCCTTGCGAGGGTCTTTCCCTGTTTTAGTGAGGAAGGTCACAAATAGCGGGTCAAACTCTGGCGTGAGAGCCACTTTACTTGGTATAGTTGGCCGAGGGCATTCGGCTCTGAGTTTAGCCCTTATTTCTTTTTCAAGGGGCTTACGCAGCCACATCTTGCAAAAATTAGAGATGTGGTCAGGTGGGGCCCATTCGGCCGAATGTGGATGTCTAATGACCCTAGGGTCGAAAAAAGGGACACCCGAGGCATCCAGAAGGGTGTCTGAGTCGGGTCCCTTGGGCATAGAGATGTTTGCATCTGTGTCTTTTTGGTAATGAATGTCTCCTTGACAAATTCCGATGGGGGTATCCCCTAGCACATTCGCCGAGGGGTCCTCATTAGAATAGCCAAGGTAGTAATCCTCAACCCCATCGCCCATTTGAGAAGTGAAACCCTCCAAGGGGTCGAATATAGTTTGGGCGGGGCGAGTGACAGTTAATTTTTGGGACTTGGCAAGAGCCTTGCCCTTGCCCGCAGACACACTATTCCCTTTCCAAGGACGTGTGACCTCCTGATCCAAGGGCTGAGAGTCCTCTGAGTCAGAGAGTAAATGTGCGGTGGGATTGACTTCGCCAGGAGTCTTTTCATGGAAGGCTGCTAACGCCTTGGGGATGGATTCAGAAATGAGATTGCGGGCTCAGTATTGTCAGACATTTTAGTTAGCACTGTATTAATGATTCTGACAAATAGTCGTAAGACAAGAATGTTAAATGGGGTTCACCCAATTGTGCTTAGTAAAATTTCTAAGTAGGGGGTCACCCAAATAAGCGTAGTTTGATATATAAGGGCGGCACACAATATATAGTGGGATAGACCACTAAATTATATAAGTGGATTGTACCACTGTAACAATAAGAACTGGGGTTCACCACTCAGTAGTCAGACTTTTAAGAGTATGTCTGTAAAATATTTAATAAAGTGTGGGGTCACTTTAAATAATATATTATATTATTTGCAAAGGTGAGGGTCACTCACTTGTAGTAATGGTGTTGAGACACCTGTCATAAATTTATTAGAAAGTGAATAAGGTGGGGGTCACCCACAACAACATTCAATGAATCAAGTGACAAAGAAAAATGTGGGGGTCACCCTGTCAAGAAAAACAAATCGGTACAAAGAATAATTTGGAAAAAGGTGGTAGCCCTTTAAGGGTGCTATGAGCAACAAGTAAATAAGATACTTACCGGATCCCACGTGAGGTGAAGCGATGGTGCATAAATAACAAGGTAAACCGCGGTTTAAGATGGCCGCCGCCAGCAAAAGGGCGGGAGGAAGCGCGTCAGGTAATTGCAGGCGCGAGAAGGCGGGATCTGAGAAAGGGCGCAAAATTGAGCCGCGGACTCCTGGGAATTGGGAATCTGAATCGAAAGGAAACCGCGGCCACAAATGTGATAAAATCGCGGAGGCAAATCCCGCCGATTTTTAAAGGGGAACAATGGAGATAAAGTTTAAAAACTGTTCAGAGACGTAAATAAACCAACATGTTAGGTATAATTATATGTAGTAAGGGTATTGTGTACTGACAATAAATTGTGTGAGAAACTAGTGAAAATTAATGTTTGATAAACAAAACATTACCACAGAAAATTATTTAAAAATGATAATAGAGATGTGGGTGCTATAAAAATTAACAAATTAATGAGAAAATTAGTTCAAATATTGCATTAAAGGCAAAAAACATAAGGCAATATAATTGGAGCAGACTCACCTGGGAGGCAAGCAGCAAAGAAAGAGGACTTGGGAGGAGTTTGATGACATCATATAATACTGTTATACACTCTGGTTGAATTGTTTTTACACTATTGTTAACTATTTCTTTGCTGCTGGGAGGTTCAGTAAAGAAAGATAAGCAAATATGAAGCCTCCTGTCTTGCCATAAAATTAATATACCTGCAATGTTAGAAATGAAAACATTTGGGTTGTTCGTCTAACTCGGAGTTTAAGCAAATTAAACTCAAATGGCAAAATGTTTTTCTAAATCAACTATAATGGCCTCAATTTTGCCGCTCTGATTTAATCGGCTAAAATTCAACAACGTTGATTGTGTTAACACATTTGAATATAGGGCAACAGGGTATTTAATTTCAAGAGTTTGTTATAAATGCAGTGCATAACAGGGGATAGCCACTTCCATTTCTCTTGCATGCCAAGAACCTCCACTATAATTTTTTTTAAAGATAGCTTAATAGTAGATTAATAATGTTGTTGAATAACAATATTCAGGGCTTGCAAAGTTTTGCATAACTGATCAAATCATATTGGTGAATTATTTTATTAATATTTTTAAGCATTCTAATGCATTAACTTTGTTATAAAACATCCTTATTTTATATATTTTTCCCATTTCCCACATCCATATTTAAATTGAGGTTGCATTGCTAATTATTGTCTTAATTTTAGGGTTTGTTATATATTTCCAATATTAGAGTTAAAGCTGCAGTATGTTCATGTGCATATTATATATAATAATGATGTATTTTCTATTATCTGTCCAACCCAACATCACCATGGACAGCCAAATTACAGAATGTTAGCCACATTAAAAATAAATGTGTTAACCTATGTTCAGGTACTGACTGCATGCCAGCCACACAGAAGACCCACCCTATATATAAAGTAAATACACCAACGTTTAGTGCTGTGTTTTATTATTGATAATTGTCTTACCTTACGTTTAAAATGAAACTGCCGGAAGTGGCCTTTTAATGTCATAGAAAGAAGTATATGTGATGCTCATTTGGGGTATAGTGCCTGTTTTTATTTGACAGAATAATGATCCTAGTACCATTGTGTGCAGTTTAATATGAAAATGATGTACTTGTAGTCCATATTGGCATGCTTTCATGGACAATGTCTGTGGATATAATGAACATCTAATTCCATAGCTCCCAGCATGTCAAATGGGCAAAGACACTTCAATTTTAGGGGTGACTAAGGTGTGTGTGCCCAGGGATGGGACTGTTCTGAGAAACTATTAGTGACTCACTGATCATTTATGCAACTAAAATGTAATTTAGAACAAGAAGAATGCACCTTATTTACACAGATTGATTTGTGAACACATTTTAGTTATTTTAGTTGAAAGGCCCCTTACAGTGAGTATTATTGCTAAGGAGATCTGTAATACACTGAAACACGCAAACAACATGGAACTCCTGAAAAAGGCAGAAATTAGGATAGAAAATAGGGACAGTTGAGAAACATGTAATTCCTTTATTACAAAGAAAAATATGTTAATATTATGTAATGTAAATTATTTCCTGTTGTGATATGGTTTGGTTGAAAAGCACATGAAATAGCATTGGGGTAGCCGGGATGGCTTGTAGTTGCAGGATGCAGCCTGTAGGTGGTGCAGGTAGGCCGCAAAGCGCCTTGTCATGCCGGACTCGGACTCTAGAGGTCGCTCTGCCACCGCTGCCATCCATGTGCTCTCCACCCCTCCCCGAGCTCCAGTGAGGGAATGTGATGCGGGCTCCGTGTCAGCACTGTGGGCCAGGCTTCCTATTCATACCGGAGCTGTCAAACCAGCCCCTCTCACCGAAACCACCGCGCTCCCTACCGGAAAACCAGGGCGGCCGGGCCGGGGGCTGTGTGCTGTGCCATGCGAGCCGCTCCCGGGAGGACGAGGACGGGTGCCATGAACGAGGCCGGTTCTGCCTAGCTGGAGCTGCGGGGATGGAGCACACCGAGCTCCCGTGGGAGTCTGCACCGAGCGCACACTGACAGCCGTGATTACCGCAGGCCCCGGGACACTGCGCTTTACTCCTCCACCGGCACAGGTAGGAGCATCCTCCCCATCTCCCCAATCCGTGTACCATGAACAGAGCTCCCTCCCCATCTCCCCAATCCGTGTACCATGAACAGAGCTCCATCTCCCCATCTCCCCAATCCGTGTACCATGAACAGAGCTCCATCTCCCCAATCCGTGTACCATGAACAGAGCTCCATCTCCCCAATCCGTGTACCACGAACAGAGCTCCATCTCCCCAATCCGTGTACCATGAACAGAGCTCCATCTCCCCAATCCGTGTACCATGAACAGAGCTCCCTCCCCATCTCCCCAATCCGTGTAACATGAACGGGGCTCCCTCCCCATCTCCCCAATCCGTGTACCATGAACAGAGCTCCTTCCCCATCTCCCCAATCCGTGTACCATGAACAGAGCTCCATCTCCCCAATCCGTGTACCATGAACAGAGCTCCATCTCCCCAATCCGTGTACCATGAACAGAGCTCCATCTCCCCAATCCGTGTACCATGAACAGAGCTCCCTCCCCATCCCTGTGCTGGCCAGAGCTCCCTCTCCATCTCTGTGTTGGTCAGAGCTCCCTCTCCATCTCTGTGCTGGTCAGAGCTCCCTCTCCGTCTCTGTGCTGGTCAGAGCTCCCTCTCCATCTCTGTGCTGGCCAGAGCTCCCTCTCCATCTCTGTGCTGGCCAGAGCTCCCTCTCCATCTCTGTGCTAAGCAGAGCTCCATCCCTATCTCAGTATTGTGCTGGCCAGAGCTCCATCCCTATCTCTGTATTGTCCTGGCCAGAGCTCCCTCCCCATCTCTGTATTGTCCTGGCCAGAGCTCCCTTCTCACCTGAATATTGGGTTGCCCAAGGCTCCCTCCCGATCATAGCTCTCTGCTGCCCAGAGCTTCCTCCCCACCTGAATATTGGGCTGCCTAGGTCTCCCTCCCCATCATAGCTCTGTACTGCCCAGGGCTCCCTCCCCCTTTATCCATTATCCTTCACTGACAGCCTGCAGTCCTGTACTGTGTGCCTAGCAGGAGCAATGAATGGATACCAGTGACATAAGAGCTTTTTCTGCAATTTCTGTGATCTTCTTCCCTAGGGCTGGCTGGGCATCATGGGGAGTGTTGTTCAAACCATGTGGGATGATGCAATGGTTAGCCCTCATGTAGAATGCTCTGCCATCCCAGCATGATTGCTTTGTAATTAATGTTTGTGTACCCCATGGTAGCATGATTCATAGATGCTAGCTTGTCCAAGATGTGCTGCATTATTGACTTCACCTTATCATCATTATTATATGATGTGTTTTAATCTAAGACAATAAAGCGATATATAAACAAGCATTTCTTGGTGAAGACCAGAGAAATCATCTGTATGCAATGTAGACAGTCAGTCTTTCACTGTGTAATCTGATTACTCACTTTCTCTTTACAATGAGGCTTGCACATTTTTTCTCATTATAGCAGTGCTGGTTAACCTTCGGTTCCTCAGGTGTCAGTTCTGTTCAATATGATGCTCAGCCAGCCATTTGACTTAGATGCCAAAGGTTAACCATTTCTACATTCAAGCCTGTTGAAAAATGTCACACATGGCCCGCTGCCTGTCAGCAATAATCTAGCTGTGCCTGTTTTGTTGCTTCTTGCAACAGGTAAATACTGAGCCATATTTAAAATGTTTTGTCTTCCTGCATTATTACTGCAGTTATTTGACCACTATATTGCAGGAAGAATCCTTCACAAGGCCATCCTTGTTTTGGTAAATAATTGGTAATAGAGAGTGACCATTGCTTTATAAAGAGCAGTATTATGGAGTGGTTTTCCTTATTCGGGTACAATATCTACGCCATCAAATATTGATTAACAATGGGATGTTGATTTTAAGCTATAACATTTGCCCAAATCTGACCATCTTAAAGGGAAAAGCATTGCTCTGGGTGTCAAAAGCAGCAAATACAGCTGTGTACACCCAAAGTCAACAGTGCTGGGGATTAGATTTCTGTTTTGATTTATGGTTTTCATAATGGCGCCTTATACTTAACTAAGCCCTGACCATTTAGGAACTTGACAGCAGTTCACAGTGGTCATTAACATCAGCTGGTGTGCAAATATTTTCTATTAAAGAAAGTGTGCTGGGTTTACTAGATCTTGCTAGCTTATTTGTTTTATGTTGTTTCTTGCGCTTTGAGACTAGGGGTCAAAACACAACTTTGGTTCAGAAATACAGTATTTGTGAAATGTAGATGGGTAAAGGTTGGAAATAGACATATGTCTGCCAATCAGTTGTGCAAGCCATTGTTGCTCGCTGTGGCACCTAAAGATAGAATTTCAACATCTTTGTAAGTCAAGACTAAGATTGCAACACAGCTAAATGAAATTTCCAAAAGTATCCAAATATCCATCTTTTATAGAAAGTGTACCTCTAGAGGTAATTGCCACCTTGCTTATGAAATGAAGGGTGTATTGATAAATATAACTTAATCTTTTAAAGCCAGCAACACCACACTGAAAAGGAAACAGATCCCTAAAACATTCAAGATTTTTGCGTGTTTTAGGCTAATATAGCTGAGTTGGAAAAATAGAATAGCTGTTTTGGACTACAATTGCAACATGTCTAGTGAATTCTCCACAATTCATGGTTTAGTGTATAAGAGTGACATGTTGTTCCTGAATGTAACACAGGAACTGCACTCAGTCTTCCGACCTTCGAACCAGGGTGCAACCAGATCCGGGTTCAGCACTAAATCCCAAATATAATACTTCAAAAGAAAGGAAAGGGGCACTCCAAAGGTTCAATTTCAGGCAATTTATTGTCACCAGAATGTGCAAAGCAACGTTTCGACCAGTCTGGTCTTTATCAAGCTGACAAACACAATTGTATAGCACACATAATTACAACAATTAATCAATAATACTTAATACATCAATCAGAGTAATTAACAAATTAAATACATCCACCAATCACTGTATGGATTCAAAACATGTAGGAGACTTCATAGAGAATTAAAACCATAGATACAATGAAGCACATCTGATAAAAAGGGCAATTGTTTTCCAAACATACTTGATTAATTAAATACAATCAAGCATATCTGAAAAGGAAGGGGAGAAGAATCACCCACCAAACACACTTGGGATGATACACACATGAAAAGGGCTCTAAAGTAATACATGCTATAGCAATGCATATGTAAATAAAGAATTATTCGAGAATTTTATGGCACAAAAGTCTCCCACAATATATACAATGTTGTTCCTGTATAGCATGAAAAACAATGTGTTGAGCAAATTCTGCACATGCTTTAGCTGCACACACAGAGTGTTCTGTAAAACATTAAAGGCAATGTTTACAGCAGTTTCGAGGCTGTACAGGCCGCACATCTCATCACCCTAGCTGTGCTGCATGTTTATACTCTTAGCGACAGTGAAAATCCGTTCACTCCAATGGCAGGCAGATGTGTTTACTGTCAATATCCATGAACTATTGGTTTGTAGAGAAAGAAACCCATTTTAATGTTTTCAAATAAACATATGTGGGAAACAAATGTCTGTGTATGGCACTGGTGATAGTTTTTAGACAAAAAAACTAATAAAAGGTAAGTGTTTTAATTGCATACTTAATAAGAACCAAGAGTGCTAGCTTTATCCTATTATTGTATATTGTTCTTCTTATGTCTGTGAGTGCAAGTCTTTTGTCTTTTGTCTTTTGTGTGTGTGTGTGTGTATGTATGTGTGTGTGTATGTATATATATATATATATTGGAAAGACCGGCACTCAAGGAGTTTTAACAGCCTTTACTGTGTAAAGATAAATCAACGTTTCAGCTTTCATCAGGACAAGCAGGGGTTTGACATATTTTTTATATATATATATATATATATATATATATATATATATATACATACATACAATCAGCTAAAATTCGTATCTTGTGATACCTTTTTTTTATTGGACTAACAGTATTTTTTAGTTAGATTATTAATAATTGTCAGGTGCTTAAATTTTGTTGAAGAGTTGATAACAGGAAGAACTATGCTCATACACTTTTTTTCTCAAAAAGAATAGTTTAATTTTCCTGCTGTTTCCTTTGAATACTCTTACTGCCTCAGAGGTTCAGAGTTGCTATGTACTGTAAGTTGTGGAAAATTCATTGCAGACACAGTTTCGTGAGAGACAGCAGAACAATGAGATATTATCTGTATCACACTCCTATCTCTGCTTATCTTCAAACTTACATTTGACTCTCCCAGTCTCTGCAGTCCTTCAAAAATCCTTAAAGGACCACTCTAGGCACCCAGACCACTTCAGCTTAATGAAGTAGTCCGGGTGCCAGGTCCAGCTAGGGTTAACCCATTTTTTTTTATAAACATAGCAATTTCAGAGAAACTGCTATGTTTATAAATGGGTTAAGCCTTCCCCCAAAGCCTCTAGTGGCTGTCTCATTGACAGCCGGTAGAGGCGCTTGCGTGCTTCTCACTGTGATTTTCACAGTGAGAGCACGCAAGCGTCCATAGGAAAGCATTGATAATGCTTTCCTATGCGACCGGCTGAATGCGCGCGCATTCAGCCGAAGGGGAGGATTGGAGGAGTATCGGAGGAGAAGAGATCCCCGCCCAGCGCTGGAAAAAGGTAAGTTTTACCCCTTTTCCCCTTTCCAGAGCCGGGCAGGAGGGGGACCCTGAGGGTGGGGGCACCCTCAGGGCACTATAGTGCCAGGAAAACGAGTATGTTTTCCTGGCACTATAGTGGTCCTTTAAAACACTCCTTTAAACACTCCTTTAAATCAGCTCTCCCCTGAATTCCTCATCCCTTGCAATCATTCTCTGCCATTTCCCATGTACTGTGCCCTGCTCCCTCATCTCTCAGGTACATACAGATCATCTAAAGGGTTACTCCAGACACCTAAACTACTTTAGCTTGCTATATGTGCTTTAAGTGTGAAGAGTGTGGTTTGTTTGTTTTTTTGGGGTTTTTTTCATTTTACAAAATATGCAGATTTCAATAGAAATTGATACTTTTATAAATTTGGTTACACCCCTTTGGCTTTCAAGCAGTCAACAGGTAATGTTACTTCCTGGTTATGTTGGCTTAATGCACTCAACCTCAAGAGGCAGCAGTTACCCAGAGCACCTGACTTACAAAGAATTCTCATTAAGCTGTATTGTGCGCCAGTTAGTATCCATAAAGGTATAAATTATTTTACTCAGTACAATGACATGTGCTATGAGTAGAAAAATATTTACAGTTTGGATTATCAATGTTCTTCTGGAAAGTGAGCTCCCATCTTTATTACAGTATTGGAGGACTATAAGTCAATGTGTTTGTGGCACGCTTTGCGGTGGTTTGCCATGTAGTTGAAAACTGCAACGCTACATAAGAAAACTGGAAAAGGCAATATTTGGTTATTCCAAATAGTGTAGTCTGTGTCTGAGAGACAATGTGAGGTTTACTGTGCTTTACTACTAGTTTTATAGAAATTATTTTTACTGCCCGTTTAAGGTACTCCTTGCATTACATTATTTGGTCTGGAAAATGTATGGGACACATGAAGGGGAGGGGAGAGGGAGGAATGGACACGGAGGGGGAGAGGGATAAATGGGACACATGGAAGGGCTGAGGGGGGAGAGGGAATGGGACACATGGAGGGGCTGAGGGGGGGAGAGGGAATGGGACACATGAAGGGTCTGAGGGGGGAGAGGGAATGGGACACATGGAAGGGCTGAGGGGAGAGGGAATGACACATGGAAGGGCTGAGGGGGAGAGGAATGGGACACATGGAAGGCTGAGGGGGGAGAGGGAATGGGACACATGGAAGGGCTGGGTGAGAGGGAATGGGACACACATGGAAGGGCTGGAAGGGGGGAGAGGGAATGGGACACATGAAGGGCAGAGGGGAGAGTGGAATGGGACACATGGAGGGGGCTGAGGGGGGAGAGGGAATGGGACACATGGAGGGACTGGCTGAGGGAATGGGACACATGGAGGGGCTGAGGGGGAGAGGAATGGGACATGGAGAGGGGCTGAGGGGGGAGAGGGAATGGACACATGGAGGGGCTGAGGGGAGAGGGATGGCATACGGGAGGGGCTGAGGGGGGGAGGGAATGGCATACATGGAGGGGCTGAGGGGGAGAGGAATGGCATACATGGAGGGGGCTGAGGGGGAGAGGAATGGCATACATGGAGGGGCTGAGGGGAGAGGGAATGGCATACATGGAGGGGCTGAGGGGGGAGAGGGAATGGCATACATGGAGAGGCTGAGGAGGGAAAGGGAATGGCATACATGGAGGGGCTTTGTGGTCGAGGGAATGAGACACCGGGTGGATTCTAGTTACGCCTTTGATTGTCATTATGCCACATCACAAACCATTATGTAAAATACATCACTTCAGCACAGGGGATAAGTTTTGAGAATTCATTTAGAGATTTGTAGAAAAGTTTCCTGAAACATACATATTGTGCAAATAAATTGTAGAAATTAAAATGCCTTAATAATTTGGGATTCCAATATCATACCAAAAAGGATTGTAATTTTTTTTCTGAAGTTGGTGATAAGGCACAAGTTTCTCGGTAGAAAAATCCAAACCATACTAGTTAGGAGGAGAAGTTACTAGCACAGACAGAATAGCCCTTTTGTAAAAAAAACAAAAAAAAACGCAACCCTCCCCCCCCAAAAAAAAAAACCTCTATTGAGTTTGAATGCATGTCTTGTGCCTTAAAGATCGAACATCCATTGCAAGTGGTCCCCTAGCTAAATCTATCTTCTATCATTAAAAACTGCCACATACAGTGCTTTGAAAACAAAACAATTAATTGACTTTTTAATTAAAAGCTTACATAATTGGGTTTCAGTTAAAGGTAAATTATACCCTTAGGATTTATGCGTTTAGTTTGTCATCGGTTGTGACTTTGAGTTTAAGCAACTATCCTTCTGTCTGTCTTAACCTAGAAATGGGCCACCTTTGCAATCCAAGGATAAAGCTCATGGTCTATAAGTCTTACGGCTTAAGACACGTTTTCCAGAAAAGTCTATGTTGCTAAGCTCGGCCAACATTGAGCTTTTCTGATGTTTTTCATTACATAGGTATGTAATAGTTTTTGTCATAGTTGTCATAATTTTTTGGGGATTTAAGGATATAAGTGAATCACGTAGTTTGGGAATAGTCCATCTCTGAGTAGAATTTAGTCTTTGCCCCAATGATGTCTCTTTTAACTAACATATGATTTGGAGATAATGAATATCAATCCAATTGAATTTAAAAGTAAAATTTTAAATCTCACTGTTTCTACTGCCTTTGGCTTCAAAGGCTTATTGAAGTGTAGTTTCCTTACATTTTAGTTATAAATAAACACAAATACATTCTTATTCTCTCTATCCTTACAATTTAAAGGGGTACTCCAAGAATCATCTTATTTCATATTTTAAGCCCTGACTACTGTTCCAGACGAATTATCGTTGAATGGATAGATACATACTGTATCATGATAGTAACTCACAACTAATTGCCCCAGTACTCAATCTAGTCTGTTCATTATAAGGTGCCACGTTTGTTTTATAATCTTCTTTAAGTTTGCAGTGGTGCACCAAAGGGGATCAAACCCTATAAAATAAGCATAGGTTGTTATGGTGCTTAGAGTGACCCTTTCAATTTTCTGTCGTTTTTATATCTTTAGTCCAGTGTGAAATTGGCTGATATATATATAAAATAATGGTATCAAAACCCCATGCAACACTGTTTTTACACACTGCGCAAAATTCTAGTAATCCTTCACTGTCACTGTGCATGGAATCTTTCTCCCTAGCACGATGGTCCCTGACGATGGACCACTAGGCATCTCTAGACCACTGTGTGAACCAATACCTCGATTACACAAAGATTAAAGCCTGCGTGCATGCTTGTTACCCAATTTAACACTGCAGAAGTACCTTTATTTCTTCCATTCTCCATCTCTGAGGATGGGGAAATCACACTGCGCCTATCCAGCACTAATAATAAAGCACTAAAAATAAATAAGTTAATAAACATTACTGTGTGACATATTGTCAGACCTTCCATACTTCCTTGATCTATTGCATGGTTTTCCTAATAAAACTTGGAAAATATCCCATACGAAGGATTCTGCTATTATTCTGTATAGTGTTGACTCAGCCAAGAGTTCTCTGGCAGAGATTCTCCCCAGCAAGATTAGCAAATATATCAGGGCAATTTGGCTGCTTTTTGCATACACTGGCAGGCTTGCAGTATGTGTTGGGAAACAGGAGTCACTGGATGGAAGACACGGAGCAAACCAAACTTAAATGATCAAACCATAGCACCTTATGCACCTAATCATTTGTTTAATTATAAGTGGCTCCTTATTGTAAGCATGTTTGCTGCAGGCTTCTCTGTGCCTTGTTTCTGAAAATCTAATGTTATTTGTCATCCTTTTGTTGCTGTTATGTTCACAGTAGAGCCTCTGGTACATTATATGTTTGTGCTATAGCTGTAATTATAATATAAAAGGGGGTGCTGGTTGATGTAAAATCGAATGCAAAATAAAGAAAAAGAGGTAAATGTCTACAACAAATATAAAATGTGTAAGTATCTCAGTGCAGTTTCATTACTTGTATATTGTTTAGATCTGCTAAGGGATTGGAGCTGAAATTATGTTATTGAATGTTAAAGTATTTTAAATGCTGAGAAAGGGTTTAAAGGAACATTCTAATGTTAAAAATAAATATGCACCGCCTTTCGTCTATCAACCTGTCTCTGGGCCAACGGAATACTGCAGACACGCTGGTTGGTAGATGCGATTGCTGCTTGCTGTTGGCAAGCAGCAACAGCATATGCTGCTAACTGATTGGGGCTGCATTGTTTTGGCGCATATTCGCGTCATCATGTTGTTGCCGGCGGAAATCTAGCTATCTGATTGGAGTGGGGCTCCTTTTTCCACTAAACAGCTCCATAGAAGTACAGAGCTCAGTCACTCGTTCTACTCTCCCTATTTTAGTCATGGTATTTTTTGTTGTTAGTCATTAGAGGGGATAGATATTTTCAGATGATTTTAATAGGCATTCGGGCTATTTTCATTTATGTCGGACTGGCTTTGGTTCTGTTATTAATACTAGTTATTTGAACGGTTTTAATTTAAAGTTATTTATAAGTATATATGGTAAGATTTACACCATCCCAAATTTTATTTTTTAATAATTTGGTTGTTGTAATTTTTATCATGGCCCAAAACTAGTCATTGTGCATGGCCTAACCTTTAATGCCACAAATAAAATGCTGCAGCTTTACCGTGTTAAAACACTTTTTGTATACATGCATTGCCAAATTCACCCGCAGTTAGATCAACAGTCTGGTAAAATCAGATAATGCTTGGGATGCATTGCAAATTTATTGTTTACATTATCTGAGAACAGCATTAACATCGTTAATTGCCCATGACTGACCAGAGGCTGGCCCTTCCTCCATGGCTGAGATCATGGGAGGCCTTTGTACATCCGTGGCAAAATGCCACACTGCACCAATCAGCATGTACTCATAGAGATGCATTGAATCAATGCATATTTATGGGGAATGTTTAGCGCCTCCATGCAGAGCACTGCACACTGGGAAGCACTGGAATAGGAAGTACCTCTAGTGGCCATCTGAGTGACTGCCACTAGAGGTGTTACAAGGCTGTGTTTACATTGAAATGTCTGCAGGCACAGGCTATAGACACAAGAAACACTACATTAACCCCTTAACGCCGTTACGGCATTCTATGCCGTCGCGGCTTTAAAGGGCTTTAACCCCTTAAGGCCCAAACTTCTGGAATAAAAGGGAATCATGACATGTCACACATGTCATGTGTCCTTAAGGGGTTAAAGCCGCTGCGGCGGCATAGAACGCCGTATCGGCTTAAGCCCCCAGGATCTCGGCGGTACTCCCCCGGCGAATGAGGCCCCCGGGGGCCATGTGATCGCTCTCAAATAGCTGGCTGTGGATCTGCCAGCAGGGGGACTGTCTGAAATGTCAGACAGTCCCCCTGCTGGTGGGAAAGTAATAATAAAATAAAAATAAAATTAAACATGTTTAAAAATAAATAAATATATATGTGTGTGTGAAACGTCATACGTAATGTATTTTAATATTAATATAAGTATATATATATATATATATATATATATATATATATATTAATATTTAAATATACTTAGAATGACGTTATATATATATATATATGTATATATAATAGATATATATACATACGTATAATTACAATAATAAATTAAATAATAAAATAAATAAAATATTGAAACAAAATTTTACTATAAATTATATATTCATATGTAATTTCATTCTAACTGTATTTTGTTATTAATATATATATATATATATATGTGTGTGTAACAAAATACACTTAGAATGACATTCTCTCTCTCTCTCTCTCTCTCTCTCTCTATATCTATATCTATACACACACATATAATTACATAAAAGATTACATTAGTATACACGTAGAATTTAGATACCTATAAATGCATATATATTAAAATTCTACGTGTATATTTAAGTAATCTTTTAACATAATTGTGATTTAATTATTTTCATTTATGTCATAATTGACTATAATTGACACTATAGTCACCAGACCACTACAGCCTAACCCCTTCAGGACGGAGTAAGTAGTGCACGTTCTGATCAAAACAAAACGTAAACAAAAACTGGAATTTGCGCTATATGTCTGATCAACTGTTATTCGCCTCTTTCATATTAAATGCACCCACACTTATTATATATCATTTATCAAAACAAAACGTAAACAAAAACTGGAATTTGCGCTATATGTCTGATCAACCGTTATTCGCCTCTTTCATATTAAATGCACCCACACTTATTATATATCATTTACAAAATGAACAAAATGATATATAATAAGTGTGGGTGCATTTAATATGAAAGAGGCGAATAACGGTTGATCAGACATATAGCGCAAATTCCAGTTTTTGTTTACGTTTTGTTTTGATCAGAACGTGCACTACTTACTCCGTCCTGAAGGGGTTAGGCTGTAGTGGTCTGGTGACTATAGTGTCAATTTAAAGTCTGTTATTTTTGTTGTTAAAAATAAAGCTTTGTTAGTTTAAAAAAATAATAAAAAAGAAAAGGCTCCTAACTTCTTTAGCTGGCTCCTAGATTCAAAACAAATTTATCAAGCCCTGCTTGTTATTTTATATCCCCTCTATACATTTTTGTAAAGCATTACAGAATATGCTAGTACTATATAAATTATATGTAAAGATGTAGCATGTTCTTTTTATTTTTATTAACCTTCAATGTCCATGAGTGATTTTGTAAATTTGAAGCAGTATTATACATACAAAATTATTCATATTGACCTTAAATAAAACACTGCATTCACATACTTGCACGTATTTCCCCTTTTGTACACCATATTAACATATTGGCTTTTACATACTATTTTCTGTGGCTGTCCAAAAGATTTGAAATTTAATGCCAGTCAGAAGATATAGACACTAAATCACTGAACATTTACCCCCCAAAATAATAGTTTACTTTGTCAATTGCATGCTTATAGTTCTTTCCCAAAGCATGTGCTCATATTCCTATATTTAACCACATCTGACAATGAGCGCTTTCTCTAACTGAGATGGACTTTTGGTTTGACAGATGCACGCTTTCCCTGTTTTACAGTTTATTGTGACCTATGTTTATACTATAAAGGCTTCAGTTATTCTACTGCAACATTTTAATCTGTTTACAATTGTGAACAAAATACTTTCTTTCTCTTAATTGTTGAACTTAAATGTTATAATGTCTATACAGAAAGAAAATATATATTTTTTTATTAATGTTTTGAAAGAAGCAACTGTCTGCTAAAAAACTGCCCCATGCTTATTGACTTATGGGTTGGCACGGAACATATTTATCGGCCCCTGTAGCTGTTCTGTACTTGGGCAATGATTCAGAACGGAATACAATTGTGCAGAATTGTAATTGTGTAATTAAAAGTAATTTTGGGTTGATGATCTGCGTGGCTCTTGAAACATGGTTTAAAGGCTTAATAAGTTTAGGAGAGGTGCTTTGTGGAACTCTGGATCTTGCAGGTATAACGTGTTCGATTCCGTAGCTTTACCTGGTTAAAGGATGTTTTTTTTTTTTTTTTTTTAAATGGACATGTTTTGTAGTGGACAAAGTACTCATCATTAAAATTCTAAATAGGTAATATGACAACAGCTGCCACTAATTGCCGGTTCCAGTATTTTCCTCTCTCTGGAGTGGCCGATGAACATTATTATAATTATTGATGTACGTAGACCATTCTGCTAAAAGCATATCTCATTACATTTTAATTTTCATGTATTGGGTTTCCTGGAGTATTATATTCAATGTTTGTATGTATATCTTTTCTAGCTAATTATAGATTTCTTTTCCATTTTCTGTCTCATGTTTTCAGTTATTTTTATATATTTTAAGTATCTCCGATTTTTATTTTATTTTTTTATTTTTTTTTTGGACTCTGCAATGGTTAAAAATTATTTCATATTGTACTGCCTAAATATTTATATTTCCCTATTAGTGGTTACAGAAGGCATGTTTGGTATCAGTTGGTGGATTTGTGTGATTGAAGATGTATACATTGTGCCCTTATGTCTGTAAATATCTTTATCAGGGCTCGACAGATCCCAGGTAGAAATTTTGTCCTGGCACCTGAGATTTTGTCCTAGTAGCCCTTTAGCGATGGCCGTCCACCCACACAAGGCAAAATTTTGGGGGAATCTAGGATTGTTCCGCATTGTTCCCCCATCCTGCCTTTAGCTAAAGGGCTTCAAATCCCAGGCGCCAGGACAAAATTTCTAGTCGCCATGGTCACCTGGCGCCTGGGATTTGTTGAACCCTGACTTAACACACCTTTAACATCTCTTTATTTAGACAAGTGTGTATTTGTTAACTGTTTTGAGACACTAAATAAACCGCTTTTCTACTCATGGACTTCTAACTATATTTAGCAGATTAACTCCAATATTTCTCCTTTGTGTTTTTTTTTGTAGATTGGAAACATATCTTTGATCCTTTTTTCCTGTTCCAAATAAAGTTTCTAATTTTAATATTTTCTCATTCTTCGCATAAAGCATCAGAGTTGAAAAAGATTCCAGTTTTAGCTTGCATATCAAAATAATTTGCTAGTTCTATGCAATTAATATTTCAGTGAATAAACTGCTTTCTGATATCAGGCTATAGGGTGTTTTAAGACCTATTCCTACCCAAGCTCAAGATTTAGCCTTGATAACATACTATCCTTTAGAATTACTGACATGTTAGCTGCTGCCAATAAGTCTACACTATCACAGTCACACTGTTCTGATATTTGTCAACAGCACTTTTGACATTATTAGTTCAACAACAAAGTCACCACATTCTAAATTAAGCCGCTCAGCTTAAACGTTCCCAATCACTCTGAAGAATTTATCAACACATTAATAGAACCATATTTTCTTTATAGAATTCAGCAGCCAAAATGACTCATGTCACTGAAAAATATTTTTGTTAAAGGGATCCTATAGTACCAGGAAAACAAAGCAGTTTCTGGCACTATAGGTTTTTAAGTTCCACCCCTCCTTTCCCTGCTTACCTGAATCCAGCGCCAATGTCCCTCGGTGCTGGGTCAGGCTCCGCCCACGTTCCTCCCCTTCCAACGTCAACTGTCAGACATGGTGCCTGGAGTCTGTATGTGCAAAGATTAGGCCCTCTGCTGCCAGAAGTGTAACTGCTCCTTAGCAGTATCATTAGTCAGCCTGGAAATAGAGTTCCTGGCTGGCTAATGTTAATTCTGTGCTTATTTCTGTGCACTGAATTTCATTCATCGGCTGAGAGTGGTCAGCTTGTGCTCGTAGCCAATAAATGGCCAACATAATTGGCATCTGGATTCAGCAGCTCCTTAAAGGAGACTAGGCCCCTGGCAGATCCAAGTAAGAAGGCAAACCAGTGCGTAACAAATTGCCTCCTTACTGGGAAATGTGGCCAGGGTATTCATTTTATTATAATTACTACAATGGGCGTAGTGATTATGATGCTTGGAATAACCCTATAACTGACACCTTGATTAGTTTGGCAAATGGTTTTGCGCATTCGCGCAGAACAAGCATCAAAAATCCATTATGTTAACATGAAGAATGCCACCAGTTTCTAAAAAAAATAATAATCCTGGTTGATCAATTAAAGCAAACGAAGCACAAATAAGTGCTGTTTCATTAACATAGCATTGCAAAACCGATGACACAACAAATGCACATGTACACTAAAATATTCAGTTTGAGCATGCTTAAACATACACGCACATTAGTGTTGATTTTGAAAACGCCAAAAGCTTATTAACATCTATAACACCTGTCATCTATCATCATTGCCGCTGCACTACAAAAGTAGCCAAACAGATAGGTCAGATTTTGCCTGTTAAGTTAATAATGCATTTTAATGTTACTTTCAGAAAAGATTGTGACTTTATTGAAATGTGATCACATTGAAAACACACACTAGTTTCTGCTAGTTATCGGAACTAGATTGTGAGCAAGCCATTTTTAGGCCATCTACGTTATGCTGAATAACACACTGTTGCATGATTTTATTTAAAAGCTATCTTAAATAATGAGGTGGCAGTACGTTTATAAGTTGATTTGCAGTCTTCCAAGACATTCTTCATTTTTCGTTATACATGTAAAAAAGGTCACAGAGCACTATGCTATTATGCTCATTGCATAGTTCATGGTTCACAGAGGGTCCTTGCTGCTCTCTGAATGCATATGGTTGCTTAGAACTGAAGCAATTTGCAGAACTCACTGCAGCTATAAGCTTGCCCCTTTGGTCTTGTAGCGCTATAATGCTTCTAATGTACAACTCCATTTACAAAATAAAGAGCTGTTGGTAATCCGATAGCAGCCTTAGTGTAGCATATTCAGCAGTCCCACTCATCTCATTTTATTAAGGATACTGCTTCTGGGATCTGATCGACATATCCCATCTACCTCTGCTGGTTCAGGTGGTTATCAAATAAGTTCAGATCTCATAGACCAGAGTAAGAGTATCCTGATTGCAGGTCATGCTGTTTACAAGCAATTGAAGGAACTTTTTATTTTATTTTTTTCAGCTAAACGTTTATTGAAGAAATTTTCTTCTTTAGTTAAGCAATACCTGAAAAATATGATGTATACACACAAAGCTCACAAATTCTACAATATGTATACAAGGAAATCTGAAAATATCTCTGAATTGGAACCATGAATCCACTCTGCCAGGCATCATATAATTGTAGAAATAAAAATTACAAATGGAGAAAATCCCAAAATAGGGAATTAAAAGAAAATGGACAATATTAAAGGATTGTAACAAGAAATGAGATGAAACTGAAGAAAGGATAGTAGAGGAAGTTGTTGGGTAGTAAAGACACTAAACATTGAGATCTTTTGCAGCCTAGAGTTTCCCTGTAATTATTTAAAAACTTGTTTTAGTTAGTTAGTGAGATTCCATCATTTCGGTGTAAACCGTCCACAGCTCAATAAACTGAAATTCTCAGCATTTCTTCACGGATTACATTTAGGAGCAGCAACCATTTTCATTTGAAATAATTTAATCTGTAATGCTTTCTTTGTAGATCTCATGCTTTTCCTGTCCAAGGATGATGAAATAGTTAACATGTTATCAATCTTCTTCTGCTTATCAGCTTTTTAATACAGTGGGTTGGTCCATAAAGTTTTATGCCTGCATTAGTGTGAATGCTTACTGCTATCTTATCTGGATTTAATTGCCCTGGCTAGCTCCTGTACAGCCAGTTATCTGTCACCAAATAGCAATGTCTGCCATGACAGAGTGGCACTAAATAAATCATTAGGCCTTATTCATTAAACAGTAGATGGAGGTGAGTTGAAAAACACTTGGCCCTATGGCTATCTAGTAATGCATTTTCAGTTCTTATCAAGTGTGTGAATTTAAGACACTGCCAAGGTATGGCAGAGACACCTCTTTATGGAAGCCACATGCTCCCAAATCACAGATTACAAGTAGTAGGTGTGTTCACTCTGGATATATTCATTTACTAGTTAACGCTGCAAACTATGCATCCCAGTATAAATGCTGTAGTTGGTATTTATCTTACTCATTAAAAGTTGCTGTTTTCCAGATAATGCTTTCCATTAGAATTTAGGTCAGGCTTGGAACCGAACCACTAGGCCTGACTGAAAGGAGTGGTACTTTATTGATAGTAACACAGTCAGCCTTATTTGATAAAGTGAAAATTTAAAGTCAATTTTATGGCCAGAGTAAACAAAGTGGGAGCATAGCTGATTTTTCCAGTTTTGGTTATTTTGACCTTATGCTTTAAATTCACTTTGAATTCTCACTTTAGTAACTACGTCTCAATATATTTCTGCACTACTTGCCGCAAAATAAAGACTACACTTTTTTTCCCGAAATGTTGGTCATCTTTGAGAAAATTAAATGTAAATCATATGAGCTGTTCTCCATGGATTGTATCCTTAGTAATTTGGAGAACCTTCAGATATCTCAACCCATGAGGACATATATAAGTACTTACTGGGTTATTCACTAAAGTGTGCATTGTTTTTAAAGCCAAAATAGCTGATTTTTTTTATAGTTTGGCCAAAATTTGAAATTTCTTTTGAAGTTCTGTTTATTAGTGGATAGCCCTGATTAATCTCAATGAATAACCCTATTTAAAAAACAAAACAAAACAGATTTTGCAAACATTTTGAATAAACATTTCATTTGAATAAACATTCATAAACCGTTCATTTGACTGTGGTTGCTTAATTTAGAACTGATTGATGTAGTTGTAAATTAGTGTATGTAGGTCAGTAAAATCTACAGCAGGTGTTTGGTAGGGTGAAGGTCGAAGAAACTTCGGTTAATTGAGCTGTATTGAAAACGGAATCCAGCATTAATGATTGGTGTGTGATAGCAATAGACCAGCACTCCATGCCTCACATTATCTACTTATATCCATAGCTGCCCTAAGCACATCCTTTGTGCATCCTTGTACAATTTCAATAATACCTATTAGTTGTATTTCCTGCCTTACAGGAAGGATATCCTATATTGTGTTTCCTGTTTAGCCAGACACTGCAGTAGTCCGTTTAAATTTCAGTTTTAACCTTTTCAGTGCCACAGAATATAGGATGGTTTCCTTTTTTTCTTTTCATATGTATGAAAACATATCTTTGCATTTATTTTTAAAATTCTATTTTTTTTCTTTCTTGGAAAAATATCCCATATAAAAGAACAGCCAATTGATTCTTGTTGAACTAGTTGCCCGAATGAGAGTATCTCATTTGTCCGCCCCAGTATAAGACACTGTATGATTTTCTTTTTTTTATTTTTATTATTCTTTATTTTTGTTGTGCACAAATAATCAGTCTTACGCTGTCACAACAGCAGGAGCAAGAGTATAAACACATATAGTATAACCGTGGCATTAGATATAACTGCACATTTTAAGTAGAGATGCTCAGTGCATACAAAAGCATGTCGTACAGTGTTCTGCCTTACAGTAGTTGTACAGTGCTTTGTCAAATTTTATGTTTTATACAAAAAATGAAAAGTTAACGAGGGTATTAAAGCATAATAAATCGTGTCTTTGCTTTTTATATCCATTAGTAGAGCATGGTTGTGGTCAGTATGTTTTTTTTTTTTAGTAAAAAGATGCAGATTATTGTTGTGAAGGTGAATGTCTGTACCCCAGCCGGTGTGGTGGACACTGTATGATTTTTGATTCTACTCTCTTACCTGTGTTATTTCCGATGATCTGGTCTTAAAGGGAAAGTGTCCCTTCTGAAATTGACACTATTGAGGAAAACATTGAAAATCCACCAGTAATTTGTATTAACTGTTTTTATGGTATACTCTAGTTTCTTTTAAATGTATATTTAAGATTTAAGCACAGGGATAAGTAAAGCCAATATTGAAATTCCTAGGAAGGAAAAGTTCACCTTTAAGGACAGAACGGAATAACAGAAGGCAGTTGTATTTTATTTCCTCCCCCAGACTCCTGTATCAATCTATGGTTTATTTTAAAGATACAGTCTAAGAATCATCATCACTTTGTCTTAAGCTTAAGAAGGTAGTGGTTTTGGTTTATAGATGAATTTTCTCACTGCAGGTGCCTTTTTTTATTTATTTTTACTAATGCCTGCCTCCCTCCCCCCCCCTCCCCCATTAAAATGTTTCCTATAACATATCAAGTAGCAGCTTGACATACCTGTCTGTAACCCGAAGGTTAGTGGTTCAAATCCCAACATCTAGCTGGTATTTTGTTAACCCTCGTCACTCAAAGGGTTGAACAAAGTACCGCAGAAAAGCTGATGCTTTATTTTTAACTGGCAGTATCAGTAGGTCAGATTCTGTCGTAGCAGGATTTCTATTCCCACGAGTGTGTCTTAATTCCAGAACAGACGCAAAAGTCATGTAGCAAATATTGGTGTCTGGCTATATATAGATTCTGTGTCTATTGCTGGAAAAGGAGCCATGGGGGGGGGAAACATCTATCTTGTTTGTGTTATGAGGTCAGTCCCATTGGGTTACCATCGCTCTGGAGATATATCCACGGAGACTCTGCTTAAAATAATTCTCCGCTCTCTCTAACCTACAGTTCTGTTTTCTGAATAGCATCCTTGTCAAAAAAACGGCGGCATCTAATATTAGCAATCTGTCCTTTTTGTGCATTTTTACTAATATTATTTATTTTTATTAACATAAACGCAAAACATACGCAGATGAAAAAAGAAAACACAGATTAAAAAAAATCAAGTATTTTTACTTCTTGAGCGCAGGCTGCCAGATGGCTCTGAGTTTTGGCATTAGAGCAGAGCTAGAAGGAATGAGAAGGCAGCTCATTCAAATCAGCCTGTGGGCTGCCTCAACAGATGTTCATTCAAATTAGGGTCAAGAGAAAAGAGAGATTAATTTCTGTTACCAGGTAGGAAGGCTAACTTGGCTGCCATCATTAAAAAAAAATAAAAAAATTAAAGGAACACTGTATTGTTAGGATGCATAGCTATATTCATAACACTACAGTCCAGATCTTATTGTTTAGCTTATGACCCCCCCCAGGTATTAAATAAATTAATAATTAAAACAACCAACCTCCTACTCGAGGAACGCCAGGAGGAGCATTGAGGACATTTAGGGCATGCACGGTGCTCACCACATTACGCCTAAAATTCTGCTATAGAGAATTATTGAATATAATTATTCTCTATTGCAGATAAATATGGCACTGCGCATGCACGTGACAATTAGGTAAGAAATCTACAAAGTAAGATGCCGGTTCTGATACCGAGAGAGCTTGGATGTGTGGCTTGAAGCTGCATTTCCAAGCCTTCTAATTAAAGTGTTTTGGCGCTAGGACAGGGGGAGCAACACAATACGAATAAGTTGCTAAAGTGCCTACAATGTTCCTTTAAATAGAAAAGGTGTAACTTGTATGATATAGGTGTATAATTACATATTTTAAAGTAGTGGTATGAATGTATTTCCGGGTGGGAAGAGGTTTTGTTCTGTTTCCTTTTAAGTGAATTGGTACAGGGCTGAGTAAATTTCTAGAATTGGAATCTTCGTGTGGCTGGTTAGGTGAGGGGAAGGCAAACAAGTCTGACTTTAAGAGATCAATTTCACTGCTTTTAAATCCTATTCACTCAAAGAAGACATATAGTTGTCAAAAACATGCTTGGAATTAAACCATTTACCTCCAGAGTTCAGGCATCTCTGTCAAGCTGCTGCTAAGTATGTTATGTTATTTTTAAGTGTAGGAACCAAGTTGTTGTTTGTTGGTATTTTTGTTTTTATTTTGCATTTTAAGAGGGGGTTGCGGCAGTTTGGGGCATTTATTTAAAGGGACCATATAGGTATATTCAGGGCATGAATGATCAGATAGAGCATTGAGCGAAAAAAAGTCACTTCCCAGTAAAAAAAAAGAAAAGAAATGTAGTAATCCACATCTCTTTATCCTAGTAACTGGGTACTTCCATCTTCGCTCTCTGTGAATCATTGTTACATACTCTATCATTTGCACCTGGCAGTGTTTCCATTTCTCCTCTTCATTTGTAATGTTTGACTTTTCTGAACTGGATTTTTATGTATTTTACAAAATCTTTTTTTAACAATTTAAGAGAAAACTATGCATTAGATTAGGTGAAAAAAAGTTACAAACATAAAGAGGGGGGGGAAAGCCAGGTCTCTGTGAGCGAGTTTGAGATAAAAAGGTTGTGTATGGCTGTTTATTTCAGATATTTCTGCAGACAGGGCAGGCGTTCCAGAGTGCACACTGAATATTGTCAAATGAGTGTAAAGGGCAAGGTATTGCGATGAGGTTTGTGTGGTTTCTGGTTCTCCTAGTGTGTGCAGAGGAGGTGAAGGGCCCTAGGTTTGGAGAGACTTCGCCAGCTGCTAGAAGAAGGAGATAGTGACAGGAGGTGTGAGGTGGTTTTATGTGCATGGGGCTAGGATGAGATCGATTTGTCGGTAGGAGAAAGTGAGCGCAGGGCATGAGTTGAGAGAAGGGGGGCGTGTAGCAGAGAGGGGGAAATGTAAAGGTTGTTGGGGGAATGAGGAAAGTGGTTGTAAGAAGAGATTTTGATACTGAGGGAGAAGGAGGAAATGAAGAGGAGGAGAAGACAGAGGAGCATTGCTAAACTGGGAAAAAGTCATTTGGAGAAAAAAAAAATCCCTGCCCCCTTGTGTTCTGTACGTATCTTCTGAAATACCATCCCACAAACTACCCAGGTGTAGGACATTGATGTCAGTCTACAGGAAAGTATTTTACCAAGATCTTACAAAGATCTTGTGGTTTGCCGTATTATTCAATTATCAAGTAACATTTGTTAGCACACTGAGTGTGGCAAAATATGGCATAATACACTAGGGAGCACATTGCTGACAGATAAAGCAATATTAATATATACCTATGATTAAAAAGAGATATGGGAAACATTCAAATGCATTGGTAAATGTTTATTCCTTTTTAATCAAAGGAAAGATGGAGGATTGTAGAATATTGCATATTCTATGTTTCCATTGATTATGAAGGATACAAAAAATGGGAAATTAAGAAGTGATAGACATATCCCGAGAGGGAACATGAAAGCAGTAAAATGGAAACAGTGCATTATTGATGACTTTGCTTTAAATTAATTGATAAATGAAATATCTGATTTTCAACAGAAACAGCTAAATTGTGGCTTATAAATGTAGGACTAAAAAGCTTAAAGGGACACTATAGTCACCTGAACAACTTTAGCTTAATGAAGCAGTTTTGGTGTATAGAACATGCCCCTGCAGCCTCACTGCTCAATCCTCTGCCATTTAGGAGTTAAATCCCTTTGTTTATGAACCCTAGTCACACCTCCCTGCATGTGACTTGCACAGCCTTCCATAAACACTTCCTGTAAAGAGAGCCCTATTTAGGCTTTCTTTATTGCAAGTTCTGTTTAATTAAGATTTTCTTATCCCCTGCTACGTTAATAGCTTGCTAGACCCTGCAAGAGTCTCCTGTATGTGATTAAAGTTCAATTTAGAGAATGAGATACAATTATTTAAGGTAAATTACATCTGTTTGAAAGTGAAACCAGTTTTTGTTTTTTCATGCAGGCTCTGTCCATCATAGCCAGGGAAGGTGTGGCTAGGGCTGCATAAACAGAAACAAAGTGATTTAACTCCTAAATGACGGTGACTTGAGCAGTGAAATTGCAGGGGAATGATCTATACACTAAAACTGCTTTATTTAGCTAAAGTAATTTAGGTGACTATAGTGTTCCTTTAAAACGTACTAATATATTTAGGGGATATATTGACATATTTTAGGAAGAGGATTGGGGATCCACAAATATGGACCTTAAACTGGGCATATCCTGAGCCTTGATTAATGGGGCATTTTAGGGGCAAAGGAGACTGGACATCTTTAGGTCACCAATCAATGGGGCATATTCATGGGACCATGAGACTGGACACCAGCTGGGCCCTGTTTAGTAGGGCACTTGAGAAATCCAGGAGACTTGCCATCTCCTAGGCCATGATAAGTGGGCCGCTTTAGAGGGCCAGGAGACTTGGCGCTTCTAGAGTTCTGAATAGTGGGGCACTTTGGGGATCATTGCCCTGGATTTTGTTTAGTGTTTTGTGTCTGGCTCAAGTTATATAGAAGCCCCAAATCTGAACTGGACTTTTAGGAGGTATGGCTAACTGTATATTTTGCTCTTAATACATCTATAATAATTATCTCATTAAAGTGGTTATAGTGCCTGGAGTCTTTTAGCCTTGTCTGTCCATTCATTGTGAAACAGGTTTTGAGTGGTTTAATGCCAAGCAAAAGGCATCAACATTATGGCTCCTGTATGGCTGTGGGTGACCAGTGACCCTTATCTAGTAAAATGTTCAAAGATTGTTTAGCAGTGCATGGAGGGATACCACCAGGGGACTCTAGGAACTATAACAAATTAAATGAGAGTAAGTGATTATAGTAACAGAAGTGTCCCTTTAATTTGTTAAAAATAAAATTAAAATAAAGATATAGTTTGTGCTATCAATAAACATTATTCTAGTTTTACTAAATAATAATGCAGTCTATTTATATTTCCTTTTCCACAGGATGAGCTATAATCCAGAACTGAGGTAGCTCTTATGTCAGTGATTCTCTTACATATCAAGTGAATCAACGTCTAGGAATCCATCAGGTAAATTCTCATTAAATCGCTCCTCTCTTTAACTAGCCTGTAAAGCGGTTAGTGTTCTATTCTGGAGAATGAAAGTGATCTCTGAACAATGAAAGTTTCCGCTTTCCTTTCTGTCTTTAAGCTCTATCTTACCCTTGCAGCTGGGCATGTACTTTAACCAGATTATATCTATTTTGTGTGCTATTTCCAGACATCCCTCTGCTGCCAACCGCTGAGTTTATTTGTCATTCACGCTCTGTTTATTTTCAGTGAATTTCACAATAATTATATTTAATCTAATTTCTCTTGTGTAGAAATCTATTTTGGATTGTAACATTCGCATTAGCAAGGATGCTCTATTGCTCTTTAGTTATTTTTATTTTCTCTTCATGGTCCTGAGTTAATGTCGTGCTATTTGGGTTGCTAAGCATAATGGAAATGCCATCACTCCAGAGCATAGAGTGACAGTACTGGTCTAAGGAAGCCATGTTTAATCCTGGTAATGTTGACAGGTGCGGCATTTCCTTTTGATTATTAGTGGAAAGTGATTTTCCTCTCAGGCACAAATTAATTAAAGGGAATGTGATGTGCCTCCTTATACGGAGTTTGTTCTTTAAAGGAGTTTCAGGCTAGCAAACCATCAGTCACACAGTCCAGAGGGTTATAGAGTTATAACTAGGAGGAAAAAATAGATATTATCAGACATCTATATCTTTTGATGGTGTTGGATTATCAGTGATATGTGTTTTTCATAAAGGGACACTCCAGACCCCTAAAGAAATTCTGCTTGACTAAGTGCTTTTTGTGTAAATAGGCGTGGCCTCTTTATTTTACAAAAAGATTTATGTCCATTGAAGATTTCAATAGAACATTTATAAACTAATCTTGTTACACCCTACGGCTGTCTATAAGACAACTGGTTAGGCTCAAGAGGCAGGCAATTGCCCAGAGCACCTGCCTTGCAAAGACTTCTCATTGAGCTTCATCGGGAGGTCTGTGATTGGCGGGGTTAGAAAGGGAGGACTTACAAAGGCTTCAGACAAGAGATCTGCAACTTTTGCAAGCAGTTTTTTTTTTTTTTTTTTAATATGAACCCCAATGAAAAATGCATAATTAAATGTATACATGTTTTCATTGGTAGATCTAATAAACAGTGATTTATGGGTTGGTTTATTTATTTATTTATTTATTTTTTGCAGTGCAGGTTCCTTTTAACTGCAATGAGTGTATGAAAGTGACTTAAACATGCAAATTATACATAGATGAACCTGTGTGTTTCAGATTACAAATTTTGGATCAAAAAAATTGTTCTAGTCTTGTGACCTATTACCTGCTTCATTTAATTGTCTTTTTTGTAGCAGTCCAGATGGTCTCACCAAAACAGTGGATTTTAGCTCTGCCTGGCAAAAACAAACAAACAAAAAAAAAAAACGGTTAGAGCGTCATGCTGTACTAGATGGTCATGTGGCTGGAGCTGGTTTTGCTGCAGGTTTGATGACCTGTCAAACGTAATACTCGTCTATTGTAGCAATGTGTTTGTTCTTTTGCTTTTGTCTGTGACAAGGAATCTGTACAGCCTGGTTCAATCTTCTAGTTTTTACTGATGTAAAATAATGGTCTCTGTGTGTAGGTATTTCTAAAGAATGTATTATATTTGCTGTTTTAATAATCTTATTATTTGTTTATATTTCTGAAGCAGGAAACACAAAGTTTATTAATGGAAAATATATTGTATCAGTGACATGTTAGTGTGTGTGTATGTGTGAATATATCTATCAGAAATGTTATGTGGTGAAAAAAATTGTGATTGAAAACCCCTTCCACCTGAAGTCTGTGGATAGTTAACACAATATTAAAGGGACACTGTAGTCACTAAAACAGCTTCAGCTTAATGAAACCGTTTCAGTGTATAGATCATGCCCCTGCATTCTCACTGCTCAATTGTCTGCCATTTAGGACTTAAATAACTTTGTTTATGCAGTCCTAGTCACACCTCCCTGCATGTGACTTACACACCCTTCCTAGACACTTCCTGTAAAATGTAATCTAATGTTTACACTTCATTTAGTGTAAATCTTGTTTAATTCAGAATTTCTTAACTCCTACTCTGTTAATACCTTGCTAGACCCTATGGGAGTCTCCTGTTTCTAATTAAAGTTCAGTTTACAGAGCAGGAGATAAAGTTTTAAAATAAGTCACATTTGGTTGTAAATGGTACCATTTGTTTTCATGCAGGCTATCTCAGTCACAGCCAGTGGAGGTGTGGCTAGGGCTGCATAAACAAAAACAAAAGTGATTTTACTCCTAAAAGGCAGTGAATTGAGTAGTGAAATTTCAGAGGCATGATCTGTACACCAAAACTGTTTCATTAAGGTAAAGTTGAGTTTGTGACTATAATGTCCCTTTAAACAATAATCTGCACACCAGTCAAACCATAAGACTTGCTTTTGCCACAGGAATCACACCTTTGCAGTGATGTTACTACCGCAAAGGATTCCGGGTGGGCAGGTTTTCAATCAATTTTTTTCCCCCACCATAACCTTTTTGGGTTTTGCTTCCAAAGCACAACCAAGCCTCAATAGCAAACCAGTAACCAACCTCATGCTGATGATTTGCATTAACAATGAAACAGCTGTCCTTGAGTGGTTCACTAGCTTTGCATCTTTTCCCAAGTTGTGTTTCAAAGCTGTTGTATACATCAAACACAGACTCAAAGGAATCCATGTTTAAAATGGAATGAGGGAAAAATGTGATTGATTCTTAAACTCATTTGCATATGCCCACCCAGAATCCTTTGCGGTAGTAACATCACTGCAAATTTGTGATTTCTGTGGGAAAAGCAAGTCTTACAGCTTGACTGGTGTGCACATTTTTGTTTAACATTGTATTAACTATATATAACTATAAATATTTATATATATCAGATAAACCACACTTGGCCCACACAAATGTTGGCTCAGTCCGTGTGTTTACAGTTGCAACAAAAAGTATGTGAACCCTTTGGAATGATATGGATTTCTGCACAAATTGGTCATAAAATGTGATCTGATCATCATCTAAGTCACAACAATAGACAATCACAGTCTGCTTAAACTAATAACACACAAAGAATGAAATGTTGCCATGTTTTTATTGAACACACCATGTAAACATTCACAGTGCAGGTGGAAAAAGTATGTGAACCCTTGGATTTAATAACTGGTTGAACCTCCTTTGGCAGCAATAACTTCAACCAAACGTTTCCTGTAGTTGCAGATCAGACGTGCACAACGGTCAGGAGTAATTCTTGACCATTCCTCTTTACAGAACTGTTTCAGTTCAGCAATATTCTTGGGATGTCTGGTGTGAATCGCTTTCTTGAGGTCATGCCACAGCATCTCAATCGGGTTGAGGTCAGGACTCTGACTGGGCCACTTCAGAAGGCGTATTTTCTTCTGTTTAAGCCATTCTGTTGTTGATTTACTTCTATGCTTTGGGTCATTGTCTTGTTGCAACACCCATCTTCTGTTGAGCTTCAGCTGGTAGACAGATGGCCTTAAGTTCTCCTGCAAAATGTCTTGATAAACTTGGGAATTAATTTTTCCTTCGATGATAGCAATCCGTCCAGGCCCTGACGCAGCAAAGCAGCCCCAAACCATGATGCCCCCACCACCATACTTCACAGTTGGGATGAGGTTTTGATGTTGGTGTGCTGTGCCTTTTTTTCGCCACACATAGTGTTGTGTGTTTCTTCCAAACAACTCAACTTTGGTTTCATCTGTCCACAGAATATTTTGCCAGTACTGCTGTGGAACATCCAGGTGCTCTTGTGCAAACTGTAAACGTGCAGCAATATTTTGTTTGGACAGCAGTGGCTTCCTCTGTGGTATCCTCCCATGAAATCCATTCTTGTTTAGTGTCTTACGTATTGTGAATGTTTACATGGTGTGTTCAATAAAAACATGGCAACATTTCATTCTTTGTGTGTTATTAGTTTAAGCAGACTGTGATTGTCTTTTGTTGTGACTTAGATGATGATCAGATCACATTTTATGACCAATTTGTGCAGAAATCCATATCATTCCAAAGGGTTCACAGACTTTTTCTTGCAACTGTATATGAGAAGCATTTGTGGCATTTGGCGTAAGGATGGCAAAAATTCAAGGTCTTTATTGAGGAAGCGCCTCTAGTGCCTGTCATTCTGACAGCCACAAGAAGTGTGGTTTAGCAAAATGTAACTATATCTTTATAAGTGTTTCTTTCTACATCAGTAAAAGGGGACTGGGTCTGCACCAAAAGCTTTTCATTAACCCCTTAAGGACACATGATGGAAATATTCCGTCATGATTCCCTTTTATTCCAGAAGTTGTGTCCTTAAGGGGTTAAGCAAAAGTGTTTTTTGTGCTTGGAATGTCCCTTTAAATTCTCTATCCTATCTAGTTTGCATGCATCGTATGGAAAAATATGTGTATGCGTGAGTGCTGATTTTGGTACCTATAAAATCATAGACAGATATATAGTTCAATTTCTTTTCACATCCTTTGTTGCCCTGAAAGAATCCTGTTGCTTCCATGTATTCCCAGTAGTAATTAGCACAAAGTAATATTTACTTGCAATAGAAAAGTGAAATAAAAAAAAAAAAAAAAAAAAGATTCTAAAAGCCTAAACCTCTAATTATACTCAGAAATGGGCCTGTAAAAAGGGGAATTGTTGATGTGTGTTTGCTCTAATTGACTGCTGAATAATTCACACGTACCTTTGTATCCCTGCTGTAAATTATCTATAAAGCTGTTGTTTTCTTCTGGTTCTCTACGCACATCATATTTCTCTGTGTGCTGGACCACGGAGAGCTGGCTGTTGTTGACACAGGTGCTTGTGTGTTTTTTTTTTTGTGTGTGTGAGAGATGAAAGAGGTGCATCACCCAAACAGCTTCTCCTATCAGAAGCCATCCTTTGTTCTACAAACTAAATCCTACAGTGAGTATTCATGCAGTTTGAAAATAGCACGATGTCAATGAAAAAATCTCGATCTTAGCTAACGGAGAAAGCGATATCAAAAATTCTAAGAATAATTGTGAAACTCTTCTAAATAGGAAACAAAACACTGAAGCATCAAATTTGGATATAAGGTTTATATTTGGAAAGGGATATATACATTATGAGGTTAATGCAAAATAACAAATTTAAAACTGAATTGCAAAATGAAGCAAATTTAGTGAAATTACCTCACCCATATATAACCAGCAGTGATTTACTGTGATTTTTGTTTTGTTTGCTGAAGCCACAAGGGACTAAGGGCTGTTTATTTTTAGCCATGTGTAATTGTATCAAATGCATATGTGTGTCTCCATCGTTCCATAGTTATTAAAAGTGATGTTATGCTAATATACCGTTTCTCAAGTTATGTTTTTTTTGTTTGTCAATCTTTGATTTATTGAGGCATGTTTACAGGCATTTAGAGTTCACAAAATAAGTTGACAAAAAACACAAATGTGTATTGACAATTTTAAGCATTCAACATTAGCATGCCTCTTTTACTTTTAAAAACACCCCCTCACCCCCCAGTGTGTATATCAGTTTTGGCTGTGCGTTATGATTCATATCTGTTATTCGTGTTAGGTGTGGATACCTCGTAGGTGGGTGGCATGATCAATTGATTGTGACGGGCTAGTCTGACACCGGGCCACCATGTACTAATAGTGTAGGCAAGTCGGCCGTTACTTTAAATGACACACTGTTGACATGTTGGGGTCCTGTCGTTTGTAACTGGTAGATGAATGACCCCTAACCAAGGGGGTGGGGGGATTAGTGAACCTTCTCATGGGTCTGGGTACTATCGTAGCTGTGATAGGCCGTCTTGGGGCATAACTTTGTGAATAGACTAGGCCTAGTTAGGCATAAAGTTACTTAACTTTGTGTTAAGGTATTAGAGAAAAGATAAAATTTACGGTTATAATACTGAACAAAAAATATAATTAAAGAATACAGCGTGAGACAGAGAGGGTGATTCAGGTCGCTGCACCCCGGCTTCTCTTCCCTTCCAGGTATGAACAGCCTCGTTCGGGCTGGATCCCAGGACTGGGTATTGGAGGAGGTATTGGGCTTGTCTGGATGTGGGCCTAGTCCCAGTGTTTGAAGGAATGTTGCAGCATCTGTTATGGAGGTGATTCTCAGCATTCTGTCATCCACGGTAGTGGATCTTGGTAGAGTCCAGCGGTATTCCACTTTGGCCTCTCTTAATTGACCCATCACTGTGCCGAGGGACTTCCGCCATTGTAGGGTATTCCAGCGTACGATTATGTCGTGGGTGGCATCGGATGGGGCCTGTCTGGATTTATTGATCCTGTAGCAGCCGTGAAACTGGAGCTTTTTAGCCTGAGGGTGAGGTAGGAATGTTTCGGTCAGATGCCTTAAGTAGTGTGGCAGTTCAGCCTGACCTATCGAGTCCGGGACGCCTCGAATTTTAATATTGGCGCATCTATTGCGTGACATGTCATGATTCCCTTTTATTCCAGAAGTTTGGTCCTTAAGGGGTTAAGAGCACTAAACGTTTCTGATTTGACCCAATGCACTGACTGTTCTATTATATTTCGGAACTGAACTGCTTCTCTTATTTCTATTTTTTTGTGGATAAAGTTCATTCTTTTTATTATCTAAGTTGCAAGAGCTATTGCTACATATGCAGTGTCACGATCCAAGGAGAAGTGATTGGGACAGACTTTGTTTCTGCTGTTTTTTGTAGTGTTTTTTTTTTTTTTTTTTAAGAACAGATTAATATACTGTATTTGCTCGATTCTAATGCGCACCTTTTTTTGAAAATAACATTTCCAGAATTTTAATGCATATTAGATCCAAAGGTGCATTACATTCGGGGCCATTTCAATCAATCAAAATGACCTGCCATAGTATGAATGAGCATTAACATCCATGCATACTTGCAACTCCACTGCCATCAATACCAATAGGCACATGTTATTAATGCCATGTCTCTCCAAGGATATCATAAATAATCACCTATCCAACCCCAGATACTGCAGTCTATTGGGCAATATCCAAGTAGGCCTTTTCAGGCCTGGAGAACACTGAACCTACAGATCATCAACATATTACAAACCCACACAATGTTACGATGGCAAAGGCCCTACACAAATCCTGCCTGCTGCCTCAGTCCTGCATTCCAAAAGGCATTAGTGCTGTTTTGAAAGTGGTATGAGGTTGCAGTCCATAACCCCTGCATGGAGGTGACCCTGCAGCATTGTTCCCTTTGCCAACCCTCCCATGCTGACCTACTGCTTTCTGTTATTTGGCTGCAAAACTATTTACAGCAAAGACTTACTCCATAGTACCCTTCAATACCATATTCTAGCACACTTTAGAATACAACCTCCTTGAAACCACTTCTCAGTCACCCTTGCAAAGAAACCCCCTTTTCTACGCTCATATGAAATCTCCCCATTTTTTCAACCTGTGTCATTAAGACATATCCCAATGTATTAAACAACTGTCATCATAAAATCTTCATGGGAATATGCAGTCATGATTCTCTTACACATAGAGGCCTTTTCCGATATTTGCTATTTAATTTTTTTTGTAGTTGAACCTCTCTTGAACAGCAGCAGTCTGTTGAAATTCACATGGTTAAAAAAATGCTATGCTTATTTACACTGTTGTACTCCCAAGAGATCTATCTCAGAATTCCCTATGACACTAGGTAAGATGTACGGGAGAAAGATGCCAAACTTTCCTCTTGCCTGACCCATAATGGCTTACAAGGCATTTCTAAGACTGTACCTCACACTCACACAGTTGCACCAAATGAAAATTAAAGGGACATTATAATCATCAGAACAACTACAGCTTAAAGGACCACTATAGTGCCAGGAAAACATACTCGTTTTCCTGGCACTATAGTGCCCTGAGGTTGCCCCCACCCTCAGGGACCCCCTCCCGCCCGGCTCTGGAAAGGGGAAAGGGGGAAAAACTTACCTCCGATCCTCCTCTTCTCCTCCCCGTCGGCTGAATGTGCACTCGCGGCAAGAGCTGCGCGCGCATTCAGCCGGTCACATAGGAAAGCATTCATAATGCTTTCCTATGGACGCTGGCGTGCTCTCACTGTGAAAATCACAGTGAGAAGCAGGCAAGCGCCTCTAGTGGCTGTCAATGAGACAGCCACTAGAGGAAATAGGGGAAGGCTTAACCCATTCATAAACATAGCAGTTTCTCTAGCTGGACCTGGCACCCAGACCACTTCATTAAGCTGAAGTGGTCTGGGTGCCTAGAGTGGTCCTTTAATGTAATTGTTCTGATATCTACGGCCTTCCCCTGCAGGCCTTTTAATGTAAACAGTGCCTGACCACGATGAGACCTGCACAGTGAGTTTTAGACCTTCTTAAAGTATAGAGAAAGTGTCTAGGGAACTAAACGACGATTTCAAAACTATAGTTTCATGAAAATATGTTTGTTTTTCTTACACTATAGTGTTCCTTTAACCTAGCTAATTTAATGCTAGAGAGGCTTGGTCAAATTGGAAACTATTATCACCAGTGAAGGTAATATCCAAAAGGACAGTCTTACTGGGAACAAATTGTACCATTGTTATCTTTAGCAATAGACAGGAAAGTCCATCCAAGCCTTGGTTATTTTTAGTTTTCCCAGCCTGCTGATGGCCTCAAAAATGTAACAAGAACAAGGGATAGCAAAGGTTGCATTAACCCCTTAAGGACACATGGCATGCGTGACATGTCAAGATTCCCTTTCATTCAGAAGTTTGGTCCTTAAGGCGTTAAAGGACAAAAAGAGCTCTTGCTCGATATTGGAGACACTCATTACAGCCAGCATGCTACATTTTCATCTCTTTTTCTCTTGTTTTCTTCTCTTGTTTTTTTTAAATAATCCCTATCGAACATTCTTAAACAGACATTCTAAGCACCAGAACCATTACAGCTTAATTTAGTTGTTCTGGTGCAAAGAGACTGTCCCTGCAGTCTCTGCAATGCAAACATTAACCTTTCACAGTGCCTGTTGCTAGTATGAATTGGTTTACTTGGAAAGAAGTATGTCATTTCTGCCTTTGTGGTCTCTCCAATGGGAGCGGGGCTATGTGATGTAGGGAGTCTCATTCAGTTTTGAAATGCTCAAAAATGGTTTCACAATAAGTGGAGGGACTGAAAAGTAACAAGGGGACTCCTCCAAGCACTATAACCAGTTCAATGAGATGAAATGGTTATAGTGCCTACAGCGTCTTTTTAATCTATATAGGCAATGTAACACTGTAATGGGAGGATTACGTTAGTGTTCCTTTCATATTGCAATGTTTGGCTTGTTTAAGTGTTAAATAACTTAATTGCTATTTTGCTTTTGCTGGAGTGTTTTGTTTTATATTAGCTTTATTGTCTCGGAAAATGTAATTAAAAAGTTATAAATAATTTATATTTAAAAAAATAAGTAGTATCCTTTCTAATGAAAATCTAAAAATATTTATTTTTTAATATAATTTTTCTTCTTCTAAGTATACAGCTGCAAGCTATACGCAGGCCTCTGCAAATTATCTACATGAAGTGACAGCTGCTGATTGAGAGACTGTATGCTGCAGTGCGATACCTGATTAGGAGCACATTCGAGCCTAGTAAATTAGTATATTGATCCAAGGCTGCGTCCAGAGAAGCAGCTTCTCTGTCTAGCAAGTTTGCTGCAAAGACTCTCGCTATAATTACATCAGAGCCTCTTCTAAGACGGCAGCAATTAAACACCCCAAATGTCATTCAATCAATTAATGCACCCAATTTGATTACACTAATGTTCCAACCTTTACAATACAGTGTGTAAGCGCACAGGCCTATCCTAAGATGTATAAAACTCAGTGGAAGGAGGATTGAATTGTCCTTCTTTGGGATCTGGTGATGTCATTGTATTCCAGACGTTTTATATCGTGGGGATGGTGTACTATGTACTAACTATGTACTGCACAAAAATCCTAACTTAAACCACTGTTACTGTGCTCTTGGTCTGTATGTCCATCCATTATAATTGTGTTTTTATGGCAAAATGTAAGCATTGCCATTTCTATGATTGCAGAAAAGGAATAGGGTCTATGCACCAAAACCACTTTATTAAGATGGATTGGTTTGGGTGTTTAGAGCGTCCCTTTAACCTTGGTAACAACTATACATGTTCTGAAGATTTTCACAAAACAGGTCTATTTTAGCGTGCCGTCTGTTTTGTCTGCTATGTCCTAGTTATAGCTGTTTATTCATTGAATATAGACGAGACTGGCAGTAGTGAAGGAGAGCAAAGGAATCCTATCTCCTAGTAATATTAATCTGATTGCAGTTCAAGTCATGTAGGCTGATGTATTTATTCCTGGGCTTAAAGCCCCATGAGCTTAATCATCACCCCAGGACTCAGCATTGACCTGAATGGGGTTGCACAGGACATGGACGTCTCCCGCAGTGTGAAACATGTAGTTATCCTAGTGCTGAAACAATATACTTTGACCTAAGGTTCCACACCATACCCATGAGGTCAAGAGGGAGTGCAAAATAGGTGCTGTGTAAGGAAACCCGCATAAAACGTAAAATAAAATTTCAGTATCTTGCAGTTGCCAACTTTTGTTTCCTTTGGATTAAACAAAGGGATGCACAGGATTATATGGATTATATCGTAAATGCTAGACGATAGCAAAACATTTTATCCAGTGTTCACCATCGCCATTTGTTTAGTGCCCATGTCATTGGAACCTCTACCTCTCATTGTAGTTTATAGAGATGATGGATCAAGTACCGTGGCTGCCGGAAAGATTTGTTTCTTATTTATTACGTTTGCTTAAGTTCAACCACATTGAGGAAGGAAGTTGCAGGGAAAACCTTTCTCATACACTCCTTCTTTCAACATGAGGTACACAGAAGCAGAAAGGTCAACTACTGACTCAATAAAACTGGCTTATTGTGTCAGTCTGAGAGTTAAATGAACAGTTTTTATTTTTTAAATTCTTTATTTAAATCTTGCATCCAAATACAATGATTCCAAAAGTACACCATATAATAAAGACAAGATTAATAACGGAAGCATCATATCACACAGTACAATGTCAGAGATAAAAGGTTGGGGCAAGGGTTTTGTGTTTAATGTAAAGATATATATGTATTAAGGCCGTTTGGCCTGTATTTGTGGGAGGGGCTTAAATTAATTCACTCCCCTATATAAGGGACACCCCTTACCTGACTCATATCGCTTGAGGTCAGCATCAGAATGATTTCCACTTCCGGGTCATCCAGATGCCATTTTACCTGATTACTCCATGAGGTTTTCTAAGCAGAGCTGTGTCAGGAATCCAGCCACAGGCTTTTCCGGCCTACCACCTTCTTTCTTCAATCCATCACCGTGGATGGTGTCCAAGTGACTCACAAACCGTAAGTCGACCTACCCGTTACGCCAGGCATCAGTCCCACGGCACCATGCACGGGTCAGGTCCTCACTTTACAGCTGCATTTTGTCTATGTCTGTTCTAAAACCATTGCATGTTCATGCATATCATTCGTTTAAACCCCCTACCGGTCTTTGGGTGTACTACAGGCTTCTTAGACATTATTGCATTTCATGTACAAACCAGCGAACCACTGCATTTTCGCCTACACACTGACCCCTACCGGTCTTTGGGTGTACTACAGGCTTCTTAGACATTATTGCATTTCATGTACAAACCAACGAACCACTGCATTTTCGCCTACACACTGACCCCTACCGGTCATTCGGTGTACTACCGGCTTCTCAGACATTATTGCATTTCATGTAAAAACCAACCAACCACCGCATTTTTCGCCTACACACTGACCCCTATCAGTCATTCGGTGTACTACAGGCATCTTAGACGTTTTTTGCATTTTCATGTACAAACCAATAAACCACCTCATTTTCACCTACACACTGACCCCTACCGGTTTTTGGTGTACTACAGGCTTCTTAGACATTATCGCATTTCATGTACAAATAAACGAATCACTGCATTTGCGCCTACACACTGACCCCTACTGGTCATTTGGTGTACTACAGGCTTCTCAGACATTATTGCATTTCATGTACAAATCAACGAATCACTGCATTTGCGCCTACACACTGACCCCTACTGGTCATTTAGTGTACTACAGGCTTCTTAGATATTATCGCATTTCATGTACAAATCAACGAACCACTGCATTTGCGCCTACAGACTGACCCCTACCGGTCATTCGGTGTACTACAGGCTTCTTAGACGTTTTTGCTTTTCATGTACAAAACAATAAACCACTGCATTTTCACCTACACACTGACCCCTACCAGTCATTCAGTGTACTACAGGCTTCTCAGACATTATTGCATTTCATGTACAAACCAACGAACCACTGCATTTGTGCCTGCACACTGACCCCTACCGGTCATTCAGTGTACTACAGGCTTCTCAGACATTATTGCATTTCATGTACAAACCAACTAACCACGGCATTTTCGCCTACATGCTGACCCCTACCAGTCAATCAGTATACTACAGGCTTCTCAGATTTTATTCCACTTCATAAGCAAACAAACTAACTACAGCATTTTCGCTTTTATACTCACTCCTATCTGTCAAATGGTAGCATTAACCCCTTAAGGACACATGACATGTGTGACATGTAATGATCCCCTTTTATTCCAGAAGTTTGGTCCTTAAGGGGTTAAAGGGTATTTTAACATACAATCAGCATTTCTGACCCCTACTGGTCAACAGCAAAACTGTCTTCACATGTCATATACAATTTACCAGCCAATATAAATTACACATAAGATTGTTTTAAACATAACTATAGACCATAAATTAAACTCCAGCACGGGCTCAACTTCAGGTTTAGTTCACAATAATTTACATTTCACATCAAGACCAACAGTGGTTCTATCAACACTGCCACGTACAGGTCTGTCAAGTACATTGACAATTTTCATGGGGTTTTACAAAC